CTCTCTCAACCCAGAGAGTCCTCTCTCCACCCACTTAACCCAATCCTGCCCATCAAAACCCAGCCCACCTGTTCCCCTTTTACAGCCTTTCATCGATTATATATATATATATATACACACACACATATATATATAATTCTTCTCATTGTCTGTCTTTTATGGATTAGGGATCTACTGACCTGTGTGAAGTTGGGCTTTGCTATTTAACAGCCATGTGCTCTTGGACAAGTCACAATCCATGTGAGCCCTGGTGTCCACATCTGTACATGTGAATACAGATGCCCCTTCATAGGAGTGTGCTAAGGGTTGACTGAGCTAATCCATGAAAAACAGTCAAAGGGTTTATTGTGTTTCTCTCCCACTGGAAACTAAAGTGCACACAGTGGGGAACTTTGTCTATTGTGTTTTCTCTGTTCACTCAGCCCTAGAACAATGAATGTCTGGCACTTGGTAGGTACTCAATGAATATTTTAAAACCAATAGATGAATAACAGCCAACATTTATTGAGTGCTTACGAGGTTCAGGAACTCTTCTAAGCTTTGTACAATTTTATTTCATGTTATATAAAAAACTAATAAAGTATTTTTAGACTGCAAGTGCCTTAAGGACAAATAACATGCTTATATTCGTACTGGGCACTCAGTAAGTATTTACTGAAAGATTGACTGAAGGAAAGAATGCTTGAATTGGAATTAATTTGCCAGACGGACTTCCATCACAATATGATGGACAAAGAAGCTGACAGCATAAGAGCCCTAGACAATGGGTTTTCTTGGGGGGAGGGGAGTGAGTGTAAGTTTCCTGGTTCACAAATGTGCCCATGGCTGACCCTCTATCCTTTGGCCTTGACTTCCCACAGATCCTAGTCCGTGCTTGGATACCTGCTTTGGTGCCGGAGGCTGGATGTGGCACAGCAAAGATAAGGTCTCCTAAGGGAGACGAGCTCTGTAATAAAAACCCAGGGATGGGATGGGCTAGGGGGCCTGGGTGCCAATCCCCCAGGCTGGCCCAGGAGTCTTGATCTCGAATCCTCTCAGGAACCAAGAATGAAAAAGCCAACTGCCAGGCTGCACAAGCAGCTCTTTTGTATTCCTTGGAGAGAAACTTGATGAATATGTATGGAATTTTCTCCCTCTGGAATGTAAGGGGAAGGGTGTTTCATTGGTCAGAGGAGGTCAGAATTCACTGTGGGCTAATGGGTCTTTGTGCCTAATAGGAAATACCCAAGGGATGTGTTAGGAGGTGGGGTTGTTCCTTTAGCTGTGTGATTATATTTCTGGGTGGAGAGCACTGGTTCCGGAATCCCAATAGGAAGAACTAGATGGATTCAGCGGAGAAGAAAGTAGAAATTGTGACCGGGCTGGAGGAAGCCTTGGTAGTCCTACTGCAGAACAGACCGAATAAGCCGCTTCCCAGCCTGGCTGGGGGCAAAGCTGCTCCACAGCCCCCTTTGAGCTTTCTTTACAGAACGGTGGAGAGACTCCTATTTCTCCACAGACCTGTCTAAACTAGTGGCTTCTTTCCTGCCTTCAGAATCCTGAGTCATCTGAAGGACAGGGGAGGCTTGGGTGCGGAGCCAGAGCCTATGAGCTTCCCAAGGAGACTGGCTCTCCTCCCCACCTCCTGTCCCCAGTCATGGGCAGATTCAGGGGCTCAGGTTCATGGTCACTAAACAGAGGTCTGTGGCCAACAAGTATCATTTGGGATACCAAGCAATGAAGAGCAATGTATTCTGATAAGGCTCGAATGAATGAATGAATGAATGAATGAAACCTGGGATAGAAGCAGGTCTCGTACACCTCACACCTGGTCATCTCATGGTTAGGAACTGAACACCTTAAAATAGAGTACTTCCAGGCAAACTCCAGATGGCAGAACTTTCTAGTAGAGTAAGTAGGACTCCTCCTGTACCCCATCCTGAAAGTAAGACCTTCCTTTTCTAGACCCTGAGATCCAACCATCCTCAAACAAGGCCAATGGAATAATCCACTGAGTTAGTCACTAGTTTTATGCTCCTTACATCCCCTCCACCCAGCCCAACCCTATTTCTAGCAGAGAACCAGACCCTTTACCAGACCCAGCTCTCTAATTTGCAGAGCAGAAAACAATGTTTTGCAGTCAGTGGATTTAAACTCACTAAAAAGATTTCTCTAGATATCCCAAGGAGGAGAGAAAATCGGAAAGATTCCTTTAGAATAGAAAGAATTCTGCCGTTCCCTGCCCACCACACCCCCGCTTCTAGAAAGAAGCTAGAGATCTGTGAGAGCCACTCCCTCCTCCCTGCTGCCTCCTGGGGCAAAACCTCAGAAGAAAATGGGGCCTGGTCATCATCGGTAGGGGGGACCCAGCACTGGACTTCCAGACTCAGCCATGAGCCCTGCAAAATGCCACCATCTTCAAGTGACCACAAAGGTCCAGACAGGGACGATGTCTGTGGGGAACCTGATGAACTAATGTTCATGTTCAGGGCCCACAGAAGCCTTTCAGATTCTGCTAATCAGTAATAACTGAGACTAACTTCCCATCAACCCTGTGGAATAGATTTGGACTTGAATTTTAATTTGATTTAAATAAATCAGAGGTGATATTTCTAGCACACCTCTTTTGTGGGTCGAGATTCACACTCGTTATGTAAGGAAACAGCTCCTTGATTTGTATTTATTTATTTTTTGCCTCTACCCCAGGTGCCATGAGTCTAAGGATTGGCTGTGGGTTAAATTAGAGGAGCGAGGACTTGGCTGAGAGAGGATGGGGAGGTAGAGCCCTAGGCTCCAGAAAGCCTTCTGGAGTGCTTTGGGTGCTTTGAGCACCCAAATCCCTGCTTCCTATGCTGTGGACTAGAATTCTTACCACCTGACAGCAAAGATGTGGACTCTGGCTGGCCCCCTTGTTGTGCCCTCTGGGAGTAGCCACTCTGGCTGCTCTGGGTCTTCAGAGTCCCCAACCAAGGGAGAACACAGTTGAATAAGTAAAGGTCTTGCTCCACCTTCACGGTCACATTCCCAGTAAATCAACAGCAGTTGGTTTCTCTAATTTTTTGTCTTAACCTGTCATTTCAGCACCAGGGCCCAATGGGAAGAGGAGAGACGTGGGGCTCCTTCTCTTGGTCTTCAAACGTCAGATCTGACGACCACGAGAGCAGCCATTTTGGAGAGAAGTCAGAGGACCTGAAATCGGCGATCTAACTGGGAGGAGCAGAGAGGGACTGGCTGGGCTTCCAGGGCCCCAAATGCCCTAAGTTTCAGGCTCCACAAAGCCTGGGCCTGCCCCCGAGACGGGGCCCTAGAGATTCCCTGCTCATGTCAGCGGCCCTTCAGGCTGCCCCCAGTCACCCAGTTCACCCTACAGGAATGCCCAGGCCTCCCCAATGGATGCACCCCCCTGCAGCTGCCCGGATGTGCCTAGATTCTTGAAAGAGCTCTGCTGAGATCTGTACACAACTTGGGCCACATGACTGTTTACTTTCGCAGCACCTTGTGAAGTACAGAGGAAAGTAAAAGTTAATTAAGCCACTTAATCCAGAACTGAAAGGAGGTTTGGAATGTCCCCTCCAAGAAATCCAGGTCCAGGGGTGGAGCTGAAAGGCCCACACAGTGTAATTCACCTCCGGGAAACTCTCCCTCCCCTCCTGTTCCTCCCACAGCACTTGCCTGGAATATCTGTGTGGATGTCTATGAGGCTCTTTAGGTGAATTTGCTTATGTTTGTTGCATGTAGCTGTGTGTCAGGCAGTAGGCTAGGCACTTTAGATACACAATCTCCTTTAATTTTCCCCAAATCCTATGAGGTAGGCAGTATTATCACACCCATTTTAGAGCTGGGAAAAACTGGAGCTCAAAATAGATTTTGTCACGAGCCATGTTGGAATAGAACTAGAATCTCGAGTCTGGTCTTGAATGTTCCCTCTCTTTTCCAGAGATATATATACCTGCACATGAACAATTTCATAGGTATATGTCTTGCCACCTGATACTTAGCGGTAGGGACTGTATTGCATATTTAAAAAAATGCTGGAATGTGATAGATAACATTCTGTAGATTTACAGATTTAAAAAACACAACCAAGTTGTACTGTGATGTTAACTTTGATAATATTTTGTAGTATGTGCGTATCTCAGATCATTGCGTTGTACATCTTAAACTAATACCATGTTACATATCAGTTCTATCTCAATAAGACTGGAAAAAACTGATGCCCCAAGAGCCGAGTGCTTTGCATGTGGTCACGCAACAAGTTAATAAAGAAAGCGCCGGGTCTGGAATTACTGCCTTGAGAATCCAGCTTGCACAGGGCTCTGGAATTGAGAGCTAGCAATAGCTCAGGCTATTCAATGAATGAATCAGCAGAAGAACAAGAACGAATGTACATATGAAGGCTGAGTAACTAATGAATTAGCTGGTTTATGGCCATCACCATCAGATCTGGCAACAAAAGAAGTCGATTCAGCTTCTAAGTGGTACAAGTTTAACTCCCTGTTTCCCTCTATCCCCAGTCAATTGCCAGAAGGATCCTACTGACCTTTTGCCATTCACGCCTCCCCTCCTGACCCCTCTTTTCTTGTTGAGGGAATTCTAGGGTGGTATTTACTACCCCTTCAAAAGGAATCAAAGGAAAACAAAACACAAGGCAATCTCTCTCTCTCTCTCTCTCTCTCACACACACACACACACACACACACACACACACTCAAGTACTGCTTGGAGAAGGTATTCTGTGACTGATTGCTTTCTTCCCAGGGGCGTTAAGGAGCAAGCATGAGGAGGAGCGAGTGTAAGAATACAGTCAGAGATAAAGCCTGGGGTAGGTGAGAATTTTCTCCCATAGTGGTGTGAATGGATGGTCCTTCTGGGAGCTCGAGGAGATGGGAAACTCAGGTTGGGGTGGGGGTGGGGAGGGGAAGCGGTAGGGAGGAGGGAAGAGCAGAGGCCGAAACCCAGTGCACCCTCCCCACCCTTCCCGCGGCAGCTGTGTGCGGTGCTGCCCTAGCACTGCTACTCACATCTGCCTCATTCCAGAGCCCCGGGATGCAGAAGGACTCCAGCAGGTCGCTGCCACACAGCAGCAAGATCCGCAGCTCTGGGGAGGGGAACAAAGTTTGCAAAGGGTAAATGCAGACTCCCAGCCTTTCCCCTGAGAAATACAGAAGTCAGCGATTTCTGGGGCTCCAACCCACCCTCCCCCCTCGGCTCTTCCAGGCCCTCCGGCACCACGGGGTGTACAGTGCAGAAGCCTTTGCCTGCCACTCCCCCGGGCTCATTTACAGACCACTCTTGTCCCCCGTGGGAGGAATTACCCATTCAGGCAGGGTCTCAGTTTGCCGGGTGCTGAGGGGTTTCTGGAGACGCAGGTCTTTCTGTGCTAAACCAGGATGGCCGGTCATCCTAACAGGGATGGAACCAGCTCTGTGCCTTATCCAAGGTCGAAGGGGCGCTCTCTTTTGCTCCATATCGAACTCCAGTGTCAACAGAGCTCGGCTTCTCTGCCGCTGTGCATTATGCAGGCTTTGTCTTTCATCACAAATGCCAACACGATGGGGTCTGAGGGAACACTGAGTGTGTACCCATGCGGTAGCTGAATGAATCAGATGTCCTCTCTTTACGGGGCCACCGTCCTCAGCAAAGGGCTTGAGAAGCGAAGGCTCAGCCCATCCCTGCCCCCCTCCCAGGTGGACTTTCCTGCTTATCTCTTTGCCTTCCCTCCTAAAGTATCCCAGCAAGGCTCACCAACACGGGCAGCAAACTAACATTGAGCAATGGGGAGAAAAGAATCCTGAGATTCTCAGAACACTTGAGGGAGGGAGAGACCTCTGCCAGGGTGTGACTCGGTGTGGAGTGTTTCATTCCTAGGCCTCCTGGGCCTCCAAGAAGAGGCCGCGGCCCTGGACACCTTGCCTGAAACCGTGAGACAGCCCTGCTCTGAGCCTTCCAGAAACCACTGCCTCCCTGGACCCTGAGGCTGAGAGACGCTTGGTAGGGCTGCCTGCCTTTGACCCCACAGTCTGCTCGGGGGGGACCTGACAAGGACTTTCAGAAGGTGAACTTGTCCCCGCTGCAGGAGTCTCCAGATGGTACAAAAAAGAAAGGCTGCTGAGCTGCTGACAGTGCCAGTATCTCATTGTCCCACCGTGCAGCCCATCCCCGGGGGTCTTAACTCCTAAATATTCCTGCAGCCTCTCCTTTCCTCCTCTCCAAGCCAGCCTGTAGCCCAATCATCCGCTTATGTGCAGGGACCTTAATTCGTCTCCCAACCCCACGGCCTGCCAGAATGACCTGCACACAGTAGGCACTCAGGATGTACTGAGTAAGTGAACAGCAGACAAGCCGACCACAGAGGCCATGCAGACAAGCTGCTAAGAGCCTTCCGGGCAGACTGGGGCTGCTGTGCCGACAATCATGGCCTTTGTTTTTGCAGCATGGGGGTGCTGGGGAAAGTGCTTGTCCCAGTCACTGGTGTCTCCCTCCTTCCATGTTATGCCATGGGATTTCCAACGCCCTGTCTGGGGAGATGCACCAGCTTTCGCAAGGCTAGGAGGAGCCAGACTCGGCTCATTCCTGGGATCCTGTTCTTCCCCATGCCTCATTTGGAACCACTGAGTTCCAGGGCAGTCCTCCGCTGGAAGAGAAAGAAGCTGCAGCTCTATAACCCTGATTGCCTAAAATTTCAGTCAGGTGGCATTGTCTAGAGGAAGTGGCTCTCTCCATGTCTGTGGTTCTGAATGGCAGGGGTGGGGGGAGCTGAACTTGGCTGTCAAATGGGGGAGAGGGGTGTGCTCCTGGGATCAGGTGCTCAGAGGGCAGAAACGCCGTCGAACATCCTACAATGCACATGGCAGCCCCCACAACACAGAACCGTTTGTTTCCAAATGTCAATGGTCCTCAGTTGAGAAGGCCTGCTCTACAGCCACAGAAATGAATCTCTCTTCTATTCCCAAACTTTCCCACTTGAGTATAATGTTGGATTTTTTTTTAATTTAAAAAATAATTTTTTTAAATGTTTTATTTCTAGGAGAGAGAGGGAGAGAGACAGCGTGAGCAGGGGAGGGTCAGAGAGAGAGGGAGTCACAGACTCTGAAACAGGCTCCGGGCTCTGAGCTGGCAGTCAGCACAGAGCCTGACGCGGGGCTCGAACCCACGAACCGCGAGATCATGACCTAAGCGAAAGTCAGACGCTTTACCGACTAAGCCACCCAGGCGCCCCTGGATTTTTTTTTTTTTTTTTTAAGCCAAACCACAGGCCGGTAAAAAGTGGGGCCTCCACCTTTTCTTGCAGGACCAGAACAGATGCGTTTGTCACAGACCAGAGGCCCTAGCGGAGCTTGGGGTCCCACATATGGCCGCTGGGGGGCAGCAGCGATTTCTCCTGGTTTATTGTGTGAGGTGAATGCGCCCGTTTTCAGCCCACAAAGCCTTTGGTCTGGGGCAGCCCCCAGGAGCAGAACATGGAAATGAAGCCCTCTGTGCTACCTGAGCTAAGAGAAAAGTGGCCTTTTCTTTCTCGTGAGGTGCGAGGGGATTTCAGAAAGGGGACTCGTGAGCCACAGGGCGCTCCCGGAACAGCAGTCTGGAGGCAGAGCAGCCTCCTCCCACCTCCTCCCTGCTCCACCTTCCTCCCCAGCTCACCCCCTCCAGGGATCCAGAGCCAGGAGGCGGGATCAGCACTGTCCCGCCACCCTCCCTTCCCTGGAATCCTGGCTATGTGAAGCCCAGGCCCTGGGGCCCTTTCCAGCTCCCTGCACACTGAGGCAAGGGCCACCTGTATCACAGCAGGCCCTGAATCTGTCCTGATGGCTGTGGCCACCCAGCTTTTCTCTCTTGGAAAGAAGAGTGAGATGGGGTAAGGCTGGCCCTGACCCCCACAAGGCTGCAGTGAGGTCAGGAGCTTGAGGGGGCTGGCCACGCAGCTCACTGTGCAAATAACCTTCTGCGCTGCCTCTCTGCAGCACTGGGAGCTCCCAGCACACTAGCCCTGGGTGCGGCGAAAGCACCAAAGTGGCGGCTGAAGCTGGACACCATCAGTTCTTTCTGGAACAAGGAGCCAGAGAAACATACATTGAATACAGTTAAAAGTCTAGAGATTGCTCTGAGCTTGGCTGCTCAAGAAGGCTTCCCCAGGGGGCGCCTGGGTGGGTGGCTCAGTCGGTTAAGCGTCCGACTTCGGCTCAGGTCATGATCTCACAGCTGGTGAGTTTGAGCCCCGCATCAGGTTCTGTGCTGACAGCTCAGAGCCCGGAGCCTGCTTCGGATTCTGTGTGTATGTGTGTCTCTCTCTGCACCTTCCCCACTCATACTCTGTCTCTGTCTCTTTCTCAAAAACAAATAAACGTTAAAAATTTTTAAAAAATAAAAATAAAAGGCTTCCCCGGGAAGGTAGCTCTCGGGCTGGAGTGGAAATGCAGGAGGAGTCAGGGGTGCAAGACTGTGCTCTCCTCCTTGCCTCGGGGGTGTTTGGGGCTTGAGTGGCCTCTTTTTAAGACCGTGAAGTGCTGGTAAATAAAGGCCATTAAAATACAGAAAATACTTCAGAAGCAAGGAGGTTTGAATAGCTGCTATCTTTGTTGTTCATACAATTTATTCACTAATGAATATAATTTAATTTTTGGTATTGGCTGCATTTAACAACCAGTTTGCCCAATTCCTGAAACTCTTAGAAATGGTTCTAACAAAACAGTAGGCACTAACTCAGGTACGCTGCTCCCCAGATCAGAGGACGTGACCCCTAGAGGCCCTTGGAACTGATGTCACATCGGCTGGGCCTGCGGGAGGGGAACCTGACGCTCCAGGCACAATGTTAGGCTCCCAAGGTCACGGCAGGAGCGCCTGACCCTCAGCCCTAGACAGAGGAACACCAGGAAGGGATGGCTTCGAGGATCTTCGCGGCTGGTCGGGCGTGTCTGCTGGACACCAGGCTGCCCCTCCTGCTAGAGCACCAAGCATCCCAGTTGTCACTGGCCCTCCCTGTCCCCTGGTACTGTACCAACACCAGCTCCGTCCAAGCACCTGTCTGTTCCTTCCTCAGCCTCACACACTTGTGTCTCTCACCCACTCTGGAACCTTGGAAAGAATTCAGTTTTCCGGGTTCCTCCTCAGGGTTACGCAGGACTCAGCTCCTTCCCACCGACGGGTCAGCTCCTTCCCATCTGACAGCTCGGTGTAGCCACCACCCCGCCTTGGTCTGGCCTTGGGCCCACACACCCCTGCCCTCATACAGACAGTGGATGCCTTAACCTCTACCCGAGACTGGGGGGGGGTTGGGTAGGTGGAGGTGGCTCTCAACCTCCTCTGCTCCTTGCCCCCCAAGCTCACAAAATAAAGAAGATAAGGAAGACAGGGGAGCTCTTCTGTCTCCTGCAATGTCACGGACAAAAGAGCAGCCTCTCTGGCTGGAACTGAAGCTTAACGTCCACATAGTTCGGATGAGGGAGAGGAGGCTCTGAAGGCAAAATTGCCAACCCGTCCAGTCACCCCCCCTGGGGGCTGGCCAGACGGGAGATAACCAAAAGCATGATCTGGCTTGGAACAGTCATTCGGAGAGGAGACCATACTGCAAACAGAACCCTGGGGATTCCAGCCTCTCCCCTCCCCCATTCTGCCCCCCGTGGAGGCAGGAGGCTCCGAGTGTTCACGCCTTTCCAGCCGCACTTACCAATCTCCTCGTACCGCATCACCGTGCCCAGATTGGCATTCTCGTCTAGGGAAGAAAGAGGGACGGAGAAGCATTAGGGAACGGACTTAAAGCTGCCCAGCACACGGTCCACCCAGGGGCCTCCTCAGGAGTATGTGGGTTGGGATGGAGTAGGTGGGGGTAAGGGCCCATTGCCCCCTGCGTGGGGGGCCTCTGAGTCCAGTGAATGGAGAGAAGTCCAGCCTAATATGGAGAGGGGGCATCTCCTCACAGTCCAGGGCAGGGATTCACGTCCCTGACACTTTAAGAATTAGCTTCTCTGGGGGAAGCCAATGACGAACACAAACCCGCTCATGCTGAGCACCTTCTGTTTCTTTATTTTAGGGAGGTAGTTCACAAAAGCAATGTCCTCTAAACCTCAGGAGACAGCTTTCAGAGTCACAAGGAGGTGGCCCTCTCTCCTTAGAGAGGTTCAAAGAACAAGCAAGACTGAGCACGTTGAGATTTGTCATGTGGCAGATACAGCAAATGCCCGTGGAAGACAAGAAAGAGACTTTGACCTGTGCTCTTAAGTGTGCAATGCATGGAAGTTCACGGTGTGCACTGAACAACAGAGGTGTCACCTTGGTCCCCTGTCTCCTTTCCTCCTCTGCCATCCCTCTTAGTTCCTTTTCAAGATGCCAGAAAATGGAAACCTCAGGAGTGGCAGAAATCAGCCCCAAAGAGTCAAAAGAATGAGGTCTGGGCCTTCAGCTCTTCTGCAGAGTTGGACTGGGGGGACGCTGAAAGAGCCCCACGGACTTCGGATATTCTCATCCCTGCTGAGTCCTCGAGGGAACAGCCAGAAACAGAAAATTAAAGAAGGATCGTGTGTGTTCGTAGCTTATCGGCAAGAGCGCAGGCCCTGCGGGAGCTGGGAAGACCTGACGGGGGAGTCCGGGCCCTGGAAACTCTTCGGCATGTGGCTTCATTCTGTGTGGGAGATGCGAAATGAGTATATCCCTGATATACTGAGTCTCCCCACAGCCCGAGGCCAGGTGGGTCACATGTCTGGGTTTCCCCTAACTGCCCTGGACGGCAGGCCTGGGGACATTCCTGTTTGCCACTGTTTTCTCTCCATCACTGCTTTATAAATGGTCATCCCACGGCAGGTGCAGGGAGGTGTCTGCGGAATGAATGAAGGGAGGGGACCCAGAAGAGACAGGACCGGGAAGGAAGGTCCTTACTCCCTTACCCACAAAGGTGAAGCGCTCCACCGGTGGGCGGACACAGCAGATCCGGCTTAGGCTTTCTCCCACCTTCCCCAGGATCTTGGCTACGGGAGAGAGCAAGACAACAGGGACAGAGGGAGAGAACCACTCACAACTTACAGCCCAGCGCTTGGGTCACTTAAACAACAGGGTTGCACTGGAGGGGGGCAGGGGTCGGGCGGTGGGAGGCAGGAGGGTAGAGACAAAGAACAGAAATATGACAGCAAACATTCCTTCTCGTTTGCAGTCCAAGGCACAGTCATTTTCAACCTAGACTGGAATCTATTTTCTGCTCATGTTTATTATTCCATGTTGAAAAGTTGGAAAATATAGAAGAGGAAAATAAAAAACACCCATAACCCCACCCCTGAAGATAACCACCACTAACATATTGGTATATTATTATTTCCTTTCCTCCCTTAACAAATATATATATTCTGCAGCTATGTTTGCATGAATTGGATCATAGTCTGCATTTAAAAGGCATAGAGGCTACTGGCTTTTTTCATTTTTTAATATGAGCCTTGGCCTTCATTCCTTCCCATGAAGACAGACTTTATAATCAAACATCCCACTCTGGCTGAGAGGGATCTGGTTTTGGATGATCTTGCTGGGCTGTAATCCAGAAAATTCTTCTGAGCCCCCACATGAGACCTATGAAATTTTGGCTCTTTGTGGCTACCCTGTTTGTAACAGACTAATAACATAACAGCTATGCTCTCTAGGCTTGAAAAGTGATACCAGCATCTATCTCTTTCAATTGGTCTGGTAAAAATATACATATATATTAGAAAAAAACATGGACCTTGGGATCAGATAGTCCTGAATATGAATTCTGGCTCTTTTACTTTTGAGCTATGTGACCTTTGGCAAACCACTCACCCTCTCTGAATCTCAGCTTTCTCTTGGTGAATGGGAACATAATCTCTATATCCCAGAATTACTGCATTCAATGAGAATCTGTGGAAAGCACTGAACGTTGTCCAGGCCTACAGTAACAGGTGTTGAGTAAATGTTGAAGCCCTTGCTCTCTGCCACTGAAGAGGTGGCTAAGAGTGTGGGATTCTGAACTCAGACCCTGGGTCTGACTCCTAGTCCGGCTACCTCCTCACTGTGCGACCTTGGGCAAGATCCTCAATCCCCTTAGAAGAGGCAGAGAAAAATGCTGCCTTTTGTATCTTTAATTCCCAGTCAAGGCAATTATATTTATATTTAAATGCAGGGGGGGGGCGCGGAGAATGCACACCACCCACCCTGTCTCCCTGGGTCTCTCTCTCATTGTGACTATTTCTCTCTGATGCTCTGTTTTAAGGATCAGGACATTCTTATCACCTTGTTAAAAATACAAATTCTTCCCCCCCTCCCAGACCCAATAAATCAAATTCTGGGGAAGGGCCTAGTGATGTGGACTTCAGCAAGCCCTCCAGGTGCTTCTGAAGTTTGAGAACCACAGCTCCACATCCATGTCCCCCTACCTGCAGTAGGCTTGGTGGACACATTGCTGTTCTGGTAAATGGGCTGAGGGGTCTCATTTTGGGGCTGTCCGATCACAGGCGTCATGGAGGGTGTGTTGACATTGGAGAGGATGCAGCCAGTCACCCGCTGGAGAAAGGGAGAGGTGCAAGGTCAGTGTCATTAGCCAAGTTACTTACGAAAAGCATTTCCTGATTATCTCCCAATGCTCATCTGCTCATCTGTTACAGGGAGGCCACTCGGAGCTGAGGAGAGCATGGTGGTGGTGTGAGGGTGGGTTCTAGACCCAGCCGCACCGCCGGGTTGCAGCAGGCTGGCCAGAGGCAGGACAGCCCCGTGCTGCAAAAGCATGCGATGTGCTGTTGCACAGACACTGGTTCAGGTTTGAGCTCTACCCTCTCTGGGTACGTGACCTTGGATAGTTAACTTCTCTTGAACCTCAGCTCAAGAGCTGACCATGGACCGGCCACATAGCTGCCTTTCCGGGTTGTGGGATAATTAACACACGTGAGCGTTTGCAAAGCATTTGCCTACGGAGGATTTGGCCCACGGCAGCCGATGTCGTAACCTCTGGTGTAACGTGCCTACCTGCTCTCCCCGCCTGCTTCACGGGGCTCAAATGAGGTCATGTCTGCAACGGGGCCATGTGAGCCTGGGAAACGTCAGAAGGACACCAGCACTATCACCACCTGCCGCCTCCCCAGGCCAGAGCTGCGGATGAGGGGGCCGAGCCAGCGAGCTGTGCCAGGCAGAGCAGGCTGTGTTTGTGTTGCAGGAAGAGGGGGCGGGGCTCTGGGCACCCTTGCGCTCCCTGCCAGTGTGAATACACATTCCAGAGCCAAACGGAAATTCTGAGTGTATTCGCCATTGTCCTGTGTTATCTGGCCCACTGCTTCCCTCTGGTGCCGCAGAGAGCCTGAGAGCTGATAAGGCAGCATTTTTCACAGCTGACCCAGAAGCACCCCCCCTTCCCCGCTGTGGGGGGGAGGGCCTTTGGCTGGGCAGCTGAGAAACAAAGGATGGGTTTTCAATCTGTTTAGCTTCACAAGGGCCATTGCTGATTCAAGGCCCCTTCCCTAAAGCCCATCACTCTGCATTACAGAGTCCTGAGGCCAGAGGAGCCCCAGGGCCCCAGGGCCCCAGGGCCCCAGGGCCGCGGTGACCCTTAGAAGGGGCCCCTTCCACACAAGCAGGGCAGCTCGGGGTCCTTCAGAGCCCCGGAAGGGCCAACATTTATTTTGTGGGGTGACCTGTCCCTTCTGTCGTGCTCCCGACAGAGGAGGTCACAGCAGCACCCAGTCACGTGTGGGAGCCAGCTGAGGCCAGGACAGCAGGGTCTCCCCCTCCCGCTGTGTGGGACTCTCTGCCCAGCGGCAGCTGGCGGAGTGGAAGGGGCAGCCTGCCTCCTTTTCAGTATTATTTCACCTCCAGAAGAGAAAAGGCCCCATTCTCCTTGAATAACTGGTCTGGTAGCTGAAGAGTTTCTTCCTCCCGCTGCCCCGCACCGGTCGGCCCGATGGACTCATTCTAGGTGGGAGAAGACCAGGACCGGCCGCAAGCCTCGTGCTGCCCTCATCAGCCCTCCACGGGCTCTCGGGTCCTCGGGGGCCTTTCCGAGCACAGCCTTGAGTCACCTGGGAAGCACGCCCTGCGCCAGCCTCTCCAACAGGAACGCGGCCTGAGGCTGGAACTAGAGGGCTGGGGACTTACCAGCTCCCGCTCCAAGGCGGGGCTTACATTCTCTGCCCGCCTGTGCCCGTCACTGCAACAGCTGGGAACTCCTGGTCAAGCTCCTCGGGCCCAGACTCCTGCCTCTGGGTGTGTGTAACAAAGGGAGGGTTCTGGAAGGCCAGGCATTTAGACGGCAAAATAGCAGCCAGGCTTCCTGGCTGGTAGAGTCTCAGGCATGTGTGCAGGGTCCCCAATTCCTCCTTTCCATCATGGGGCCTGAGGCTCTTGTTTGACTAGAAGGAGCACAGCCCCCCAGCTGCCCCCGCCCCGAGCTGCCGTCTAGTGTGAGAAATAAACTTATGCGAAACCACTAAGCTTTTAAGAATGTTTGTTACCACAGTATATCTTAGCCTATCCTGACTGATACACCCTTCTACAGTAAGACGCGAATGTCTTTTCTTCCTGCTGTTGTTGAGACCCTCACAGAGGAGCAAATCAGGGCCACCCTGGCTCTTTCAAGGGGACCGGAAGAGACTCAGGATGTGCGTGAAGGGTTCTGAAAATAGAAGGAAGGGAACGTGGGTTTTCTTCAAGTCCGAGAGGGACAAACCTAATAGATGGAGCAACAGTCAGCTGGACCCTTTCCCTCCTCCTCTGACTCCTAACTCCCCGGCTGGTCAGGAGCCCTAAACTCCAGCACTATTAAAATGAAGGACAGCTGCATGGTTGGTGGAGTGTGAGGCGATCGGGGCTTGCTGACGGCTCCGCAAGGAGAAGGATCTGGCCGCCACTGACAGAAAACACCGGTGGGCAGAGGTGCTCCCTGAGTCAGAAGAATGCCTCCTGGGCTGTGGTTTGGGGCTGGGGAGGGCATGGCGGCCATACCAGCAGAGGTGAGCGGGGTCCATTGCATCTTGGCCGGTCAGGCTTCTACGGATGGCACTGCTCTTCATCCATCAATGGGCTGGCATTGATCTGGGAGGGTGCTTTCTGCATATCTGGCCAGTGCTGCTGGCTGGCTGGGGACTCATTCTAACCTGGCAATCGGCTCTTCAGTCCCTACAACCTGGGCACAAGCCACTGGGCAGCAGCTGTGTGTCTTCAGATAGGTTGGCTCACCTCTCTTGTGCTTCTTTTTTTATCCACTAATATAACACGAGTCAGGACACTGCCTTGAAGTCTTCCCACTGGGGTCTCCTTAATCTCACTTTGGATTTGCTGTCGGAAGATGGAAACCACCCCGATTCATACTGAGCAGGGGAAGCATGATGGGGCAGGGAGCAGGCTCTGGTGGTGCTTGGGTTCCAAATTCGCTGCCCTCCTTCCTGCTGCTCAGGGCCTGGCTTCCCCCATGGCTGGCTGGGAAGCAGGAAACTGAACCAGGTCAGTAGGCCAGCAGCAGCACCCTGACCCAGCCCGCCCGGCTTCCGGGGGCCACCCGCCCCTTGCCGGCCCGGCTCACCTTCATGAGGTCCCGATGATGTTCCAACACACTGCAGGTCGTCTGCCAGGTGTCCTGATAGCACTCCCACGGGTCCACCCTGCCAGGACCAGAAAGAAGTTTCCCTGGGTTTCCGTTCTCAACGCTCTTTCCTTAATAGTTCCTTCCAGAGACTGTAGCTCGGGCCGCCTAGCAGACCGGATCACATCGTGTGCTTAGTTCCCAAATTGGAACAAATGTGGGCTTGGAACACCTTCCTAGCCCTCAGCTTCCCCCTCTGTAAAACCACAGGAGTAGGGGGCTTTGGGAAAGCTGTGTTGTCTTTTGGCGCTCACTTTCCCCACCTGTAAAATCACTACCTTAACTCTCTTGTGGGGTTATTGGAAGGTCCCAGTGAGTTTTATCTACAAAGCGTCTCACTGTCATGCTCATCTGCAAGATGGAAATTCTCCTCTGGGCCTTCTAGGGTTGTGATCAGGATTCAAAGCCAGGCTCTCATCGAGGTGGGGCTGTAGATACCTGAGTTGGGGAATCGGGCCTGTCTGCCTCCCTGTGCAGGTGGGGGCCTCACGGGCATGGAGGGGGCCAGTCAGACTGAGCGGCACAGACCCCATGCTGGTCCAGCCCTCCTGTACGCGAGGATGTGAAATGAGCAGGGATCCAGCCTCAGACTGGTGCAGCATTCGGGCTTAATTGCCAACTTAATGAACTGCTAAATTGGGATATTTCGCAAACATTTCCTTAGCAGTTGAGCATTCCCTGCCCACCTCCCCCCAGGCCCATGCACCTAAGCTTCCCAGCAGTAAGATCTCACTAACTGAAAACCGCTGAGACTCAGCTGGTGTATCAGGCTCCCGTCCCGCTGACCACCGCCTCCCCTGAGACAGGCAGACACCAGACTGGCCAAGGCTGGGGGCCCCGCCCTTATCTCTAGAGCTACCTGAGCCTCACTAGTGATCTCAGTTCTTGGAACTCTGCCTTTCCCCAAGTGCCTAGAGCAGTGCGGTGCAGGCCGGAAGTGCGGGGTGAATACTCCATGAATGAATGAGGCAATTATTTCAGGGTCTTCTAATCACATCCAAACAGGATCGACCTCCTGCCCAGTATTTTCCCCACTGGACCCCACTTTCCCCAGGAGATCGGGAGCCACAATGTGAAAAGGCCTCGCTTCTATCCCTGACTTGACGACAGATGTGCAGTACACACTCAAACCCCTCTACTTCTCCGGGCCGGTCTCTCACCAGAGAGAAGGCAGCTGTCTCCCTACCCAAACTACATCTTCGGGGATGACATAGTCTATAAAGGACAAGTGTTTTTCTCACACAAATCACTGCACACAAATGGCAAGGATCACTATTTAATTATTATTGTCACTTCCTTTCGCTGCGCTTCTTCTAGCCCAGCCCATCTCTTCCCTCTCATTCTGAGGTCAGCCTCCCTTCATTTCCCTCCTTTCAGGGAAACCTCTAGGTGCTGCCTGGTTTTTCCGGGGGGGGGGGGGGGGGGGGGGGGGNGGGGGGGGGGGGGGGGGGGGGGGGGGGGGGGGGGGGGGGGGGGGGGGGGGGGGGGGGGGGGGGGGGGGGGGGGGGGGGGGGGGGGGGGGGGGTTATAGTACAAATGGTATGCCATTATTTTTTTTTAAATGCCATTTTCTCATGCAAATGATAACCATAGGAACTTTGGGGAGCGTAATTAGCATAACTAGTGGAGGCTCCCTTTAATTACACTGCAAGCCGGTAACCGTGTCTGTCATCTTGGTGAGAACTGCGCGCCAAAGAGGAGGGAAAGGCCTTGAGCGCCGGCTGGCAGTGGCTGGCAGTGCCTCTGTGCCGAGGTCAGCCTGGAGCCTAGGGAACCCGAGTTCTAGAAGAGGAAATAGCCAGGGCCCTAAGAGGTGGAGTTCACAGGAAGCAACTGGGGAGGAAAGCGAAGAGGCGTTTCGGATCTCCTGGCCAGGCCTCACCCCAAATACAATGATGCTTCCGGAATACTCCTGGATCCAAAAGTCCCAGGCCAGAACAACTGAAGTCTCCCTCCTCAGTTTGGTGGGCGCTATGGCTTGGTTAAAACAGAGCTCTCAGGTGGACCATCTCTGACAGTCCCCGCTAGGGGACTAACGTCTGGCCTGGCCTCCCCACCCCTGTGGGGTCCAAATGGCTGAGGGACTCCTCCTCTTTCTGCACTCACCCCCAGGGAGGCCCAGGGCCACCCACGTGATCCACACACACCAGGCCAGCCCTACCTGATCCAGTCGGAATTCTGGACGGCCAGCTGACACATGATGAGACGATGCCGGCTCGACACCAGGCCCTGGGGAGCAAGAGAACAATCACTGGGAGGTTGGCTCCCCTCCCCAAGCCGCCCTTGAGACGCCATCCCAAGCTGGCGCATTATTCAAGGGCAGCCATTTGTCAGTGGTGACAGGGAAGGAGGGTGCGGCCCCCCTGCAAGTCCATCTGCCACAGAGACACACACGAAGGGGCGGAGGGGAAAGAAAAGGGATGGAGGGCGCGGAAGTCCATCAGCCTGACAGGGTCAGGAGGTGGGCCTCTCGGATGAAGTAGCCAACTCGTGCCCAGCACAGGGATGAGACTGAACCCCGCAAGCACTGCCTTGCCGCAAGACTCAAGCTGGCTGGTCGGCGACCTCCCCAGAGCCCACCACGGTGTATCTGGGGACGGAGGGGGATGGAAATGCAGGAGGGCCCCTTGATTTTCTGGGACACGTGGCAGCTGGGAGCGGCAAGGAAAGGAATTTTAAATCTGATCGTAAGAGGCATAGATAGGCCTTTTCCTCCTAAAATCCGGGCAAGACTTGCCCAGCCCATCACCAGCTGCCAGTTTGGCACACGTGCCAAGTCACACTTGGCCCCCAGCGGGTGCGCCTGCTCTGCTGCTAATGAGTGCTGACTGGGCCTGGCGCTGCGCTCAGTCACCAGGCTCGGGCATGGGCAGCTGTTCCTGCCAGCTGCTGCCCGGCACCCAGCCGCCCAGGTCTGACTGCGGCCCAGGGACGGGAGCAGGACGCCAACTATCGGGCATCCTGTGTTTCTGGGGAGTGAAGCGGAGACAGCAGCGAAGGTAGCAGGAGCCATTAGGTCAGAAAGGGAGGGCGATGGAGGAGCCCACCTGTTTTCCATAGGAGTCGTGGACAGGAGAGACAATGCCACCAATCACAATAAACCTTCCCGTTTTGTGCAGATAATCCCTGGCTCTTTCTAATGAAGAGAAGAAAACCACATGTTATAAAGAGGAAAGGTGTGGATTAAAAGTGATCGTTAAAATCAATATATCGCCTCTCTTTAGGGCTTAGGTCCTTATGGCTTTCTTGCCATTTAAATGGAAAGTGACAGGGGTGCCCGGGTGGCTCAGTCCGTTAAGCATCCGACTTCGGCTCAGGTCATGATCTCGCGGTTCGTGGGTTTGAGCCCCGTGTCGGGCTCTGTGCTGACAGCTAGCTCAGAGCCTGGAACCTGTTTCAGATTCTGTGTCTCCCTCTCTCTCTGACCCTCCCCTGCTCGCTCGCTCTCTCTCTCTCTTAGAAATAAGCAAAACATTTAAAATAGTTAAATGGAAAGTGACTATTTTCAAAGTTATGTTGGTGATTCAAAAAGGTTATAGGGCCAGACTCTAGCCCCCAAAGCGAAAGACTTTACAACTCCAGGGATTCATCCCGTTGCAAATGTCCTCTGCTGGGCGAGTGCGTAGCTTAGAGGGATTTAGGACGACCACCTCACTGGAAGCCACTCCAGGGACAGATTGGAATTTACACCTGTGATCACTTGCAGAAATTCCAAGGGGCGCCTGGGTGGCTTAGTCGGTTAAGCGTCCAACTTTCGCTTAGGTCATGATCTCGCGGTTCGTGGGTTCGTGCCCCGCGTCGGGCTCTGTGCTGACTGCCAGCTCAGAGCCTGGAGCCTGTTTCAGAGTCTGTATCTCCCTCTCTCTCTGACCCTCCCCTGCTCACGCTGTCTCTCTGTCTCTCTCTCTCCTAGAAATAAATTAAAAAATATTAAAAAAAAAAAAAAAGAAATTCCAAAATGGAGGAGTGACTTAAAAGGAGGATGGAGAAGCAGCAGAAAGAGGTAACTGCCACCACCTTCTTACAATACGAAAGGTCGGCTGATTGCTTCATCTCAGAAGAGAAAAACCAAAAAAAAAAACACCAAACTTAAAAGGCCTTCTACATAATTAGGGAGAATTAACAGGAAAGCCATCATTATAGTTGATTGAGAAAACTTCAGTCACCAAAAAGCCTTTTTGCCTCTGGAAGGAATTCGTGATGCTGCCTTTTCAAATTTACCAGACAACCCCAATTTCATTTCCACGAGAATATCTAGAAAACCAGGAAGGGGATGAAAATTTTGGTTCTTACTTCCAAAGGGGTTCAGCGTGAAGACCCAACAGGGTTAGGCTGAGCTTGTACCGCTGAGGAAATGTGGTGTGAATTTATTTGACAGGTGAGGGACTAAGGGGATCTTGGCTGGCGAGGCAGGCTGTGTAGCTTACAAGCAAGTTTCCAGGATTTCCTTGTTGGCTCTCTTACAACTTAAAAGTAATTCTCATCACATTTGCCTTTTTTCTTTCAATGTGAAATCTCTTAGTTTCATAAAAAAAAAATGGACTTTATTCTTTAGCACAGCTTTGAATTTAAAGAATAATTGAGCAAATAGTATGCAGAGTTCTATATACTCAGCCTGCACCTTCTTATCTTCCCCCAACATGGTTTTCCCTATTAGTAATATCTTGGATAAGTGCAGTACATTTGTTATACTTGATGGGTCCACACTGATGCATTATTATTAATTAACTATAGGCCATAGTGTCCATGAAGAGATACTCTGTGTTTTAGCGACTTTGGGTTTTGACAAATGCATAATGACATGTATTCACCATTGCAGGTGCATAGAGAATCGCTTCCCTACACTCAAAGTCCACGATGCTCCACCTGTTCCTCCTCCTCACCCCACCCCACCCCACAGCCACTGGTAACCACTGATCTTTTTATCATTTCTCTATTTTTGCCTTTTCCAAAACACCAAGCAGTTGGGATCCTACACATTGTAGCCTCTTCAGACTGGCTTCTTTCACTTGACAGTATGCTTTTAAGGTTCCTCCATGTAGTTCAGTGGCTTGATAACTCATTGTTTTCATTGCTGAATAGTATCCTATTATCTGGATGTAACACAATTTGTTTATCCATTTGTACCATCTGTTTATCCATTCACCAATTGAAGGACATCTTGGTTGCTTCCAGTTTTCTCTGATAGTGAAAAAGAAGGGATATAACCTTCATGTGCAGGTTTTTGCACGGACATGGCTTTCAATTTGATTGGGTAAATATCTAGAGTGCAATGGCTGGATCATGTGGTAAGAGTATTTATTATTCTCCAAAGGTTCACAATAATGAAGAAACAGACGCCTATCTTGACGGATCCAATGAGAGGGAAACTGGGTGAGTTCTATAGCTGTGGCTTTCAAAGTTCTTGCTGTAGTACTCCCACAGTAAGAAATAGATTTTATATCCTGACATAATACATACCCATGTATCGGTATAATTAACTGAAACAAATTTATTACAATACCGTCAACTATAGCAATGCACACTAACATTTTCCATGTATTCTATTCTAGCAATCATAAATTTAAATGAGAAAGCTGATCAGAACCTATTATTGTGTGGCAACCTATAGTTTGAACAACTTGTGCTGATGTTGAGATGTTAAGGGCAGGGAGACAAGGGACAGGAGAGATTGTTTGCCTTTCCAAAGCACTCACTCTAGCCAAATGGTTTAGCCTTACCCACTATGTTGGTCTATAGGAGGCCTGGTAGAGGTGAGGGTGAGGGAGCGGTACTATTCACCAAGCAAGTTGCAAACTTCAGGAGGCCCTGAAAGCCAGGCCAAGGGCTACAACTTTTACGCCAGTGATTGCTATTTGGTCAACAATATTCCTTGGACTACCTACACTGGAATCCTCAGGAAGAGGTTATTAAAATGTAGATTCCTGGGGCGCCTGGGTGGCTTAGTCGGTTAAGCGTCAGACTTTCGCTTAGGTCATGATCTTGCAGTTTGTGGGTTCGAGCCCCGCGTCGGGCTCTGTGCTGACTGCCAGCTCAGAGCCTGGAGCCTGTTTCAGTCTGTGACTCCCTCTCTCTCTGACCCTCCCCTGCTCACGCTGTCTCTCTCTCTCTCCTAGAAATAAATAAAACATAAAAAAAAAAAATTTAAAAAAAAAATAAAATAAAATAAAATGTAGATTCCTGGGTGTTAGTCCAGAGTTATTGAATGAAAATCTCTGGGGTTAGGACTTAAGAGTCTACACTTTCAATTAGTGTGCCCAGGTGATTCTTCCATTCTCTGAAATTTGAGAACCATAGACATATATAGACCACAATCATAAAGTTGAGAAGTATAGACAATAGAGAATCACGGAAGACTATTAAACAGGGAAGTGACGTGCTCTGAGCTGGAAGACCATTCATTCTCAGAGGGGAGAGTGAAGGTGATGAAAAATCGTATCTTACACATTCCTGGTGGGAAATTTGGGGTCAGGTAATGAGGGTTGGAGGAGGGAGAGGACCCACTGAATCTTCCCAGAGGAGGCCCAGGAAACACAAAAAGCAGGATTTCCTTCTCTCTTTAGACATTTTTGTTCACTTTGCTTCTGGGGCTTTGCCGATGGAGGTGTCAATACATGTGTCCTCAATCTTGTAGACTGTACCTTTATGATTATACTAATAGTACTAGGTTTTATACTCTGCAATTCACTAGTTGCCTGATTATCCCCTAACTTGAATGTAATGTCTAGCAAGATAGAACTGGCACGCAAGCTAAATACAAGTGGCCAAGAATAGATACGATTAGTCTCTTTCCTTGTTTCGCAAAGAGATTCCAAATGCCTGAAAAGTCTGCCTAGTGACATCTAATGTGGTTTTGTGGAAACAACACTGAGCTTGGAATCAGAAGACGTCTAGATCTTGGGTAAGCCACTTCATCTCTTTGAGCCTTGGGCGTCCATATCTGTAAAATGCCTTCTTTGCAAGGTTGCTACGAAAATCAAGTCAAATCCTGACTATAAAGGTGTTTAATACCCGCATGGTTTCGCTGGGCAATTCTATTAAACATTTAAAGAAAAATTAAAAACAAAGCTACCGATAGATCTAATAAAACATGCTAAGTGCAGTTGATAACTAAAATGGTTTTAGCCCCCAGTTTAAATGTGTGTGTGTCTGTGTATTTCCCACACAACAAAGCAATTCCCAGACCCTAGCAGGTATCCTACAATCCAACTCAATTCTGACACTATCTACCTAGAGATAGTACCCGTCCCCATAGGTTAAAGGTTCAGTCCTATAAGACGGCCTCCTCCCCTTCAAATGCCAAATTGCAAGACCAGGTTGTCACCTATACTTCTGACCAACTGGCTATAAATCAGGGGTTCCCACGGCCACCTCCTTGGGTTTGGTTAATCTGCTCCAGAAGCTCACAGGACTCAGAAGCTCATTTACTCACTAAATGTATTACAAAGGACATTAAAGAACACAAATCAACAACCAGATGAAGAGATACAGAGGGCAGGGTCCCAAACAAAGGAGCCTCTGCCTTTGCAGAGTTTGGGGCCTCCTGGTGTTTCAGATCCAGCATTAAGGTATGTGGAAGCACTCTGGTTCCCCAAACTAGAAGCTCTCCTAATGCCCCCCTTTTGGGGATTTTATGGAGGCTTCATTACATGGGCGTAATTGATTGACTCAATCACCAATGGCTAATGAGTTAATCTCAACCCAAGTCATCTCCCCAGAAATCAGGCGGTGGGACTGAAAGTTCCAACCTTCTGTTTAGAGCTGGATCCCCTGGCCATGAGTCTCCATCCTTAGGTGGTTTCCAAGAGTCGCTTCATTAACATAACCCTAGTGGTGGTGGAGGGGGGTTTGTTATGAATAACAAGACCACCATTTCACCTTTATGGTTCTAAAGCATTTTCAGGAACTGAGAAAAAGAGACCAAATATTATAACACAATATGCTCTTCTTCCTCTTATTTCAAAGGCTTTGAGAGCTGTGGACCAGGAACTGTGGATGACGACCAGATATATGCTTTTTATAAATCACAACATCTCAATAACGTATTGTATAATTGAAATTTGCTAAGAGAGTAGAACTAAAATGTCCTCACACACACAAAACATAACAATGTGAGGCGATGGATGTGTTAATGAA